GCGGTTCCTGCATGCATCTGCGTGCTTTTCGCGTGCTTTTCGCTTTCGCCCGTTCGGGCCCACATGAAACATTACAAGCGTCAGACTGTTCCGGCTGCTCGTGCACCACTGTTCTTTAAGGACATGGGGAATGGGGGGGTGCTTGAGTGTTGGCACGATTCGGGCTACATATTCGCAAGGCTTTGTCCATACTGCTTTGCAGCGGGCGGCCAATTTGCTGGCTCAGCAATATCAGTCCACGTATTCACCGCTGGAAGTGACAAGCTGCAAAACTGCGGAGTCGATAACCACAATGCATCCAGTGCATGATTTGTGACAGAGTCAACGGCAATAATTACGTGTCATCCAAACAGAACGGTTGGCGTCAATCCTGAATGCGATGGAAATATGTTTGTTTGTAAGAATATGACGGTGTTGCCGAAACTATGCACATCCCACTTGGGAGTTATGTTTGAGGTCTGTCTGACTGCAAGTTGCACACGAAGATTAGCAGAGCACTATAAGTCTGATGCAACAGAAATTGATTGCAGCGTTACACATACCTTGTGGACACCTGGCCTCGCCGGCGCAAAGTCGCGCGCTACCCGGAGCTCACACGAGGAGGGCCTCAGCGGCTGGTTGTCCTTGCTACTGAAGTAGGTTCCTCGCGCCTCACCACCCATGCGCGCCTCAGCCGCCCAGAGCTGACGCGCCGCTGGTGGAGTGTGTTGTCGGTTGCCCTGCAGCGAGCAATCGCCAGTTCCGCGCTTGGCCCGTGGTCCATGCCGCCGCTGGTGTGCCAGACACGCTCCCGTTGGGTGACGTGCTCATATGTGCTCGACCTCGCGAGTTCGAGCGCCCCCAGTCGGCTGCCGTTTCGCTAGCACCCCATAAGAGCCTAGGATAGCCTAGGTAGCTGATGCCGTCGGGACTCGGGACCGTTTTTGCGGACGCAAACAGCCCCGTACACAACGAAGTCTAGGCGGCGATGGTCGTCGGCATGGATGTGCGCCGCTGTGGTGCGCGATGGCACGACCCGACCCTCCGGACCGACTGCCCCACGAGCGACCTCGACCCACCCCCTCACCGCGACGAATCCGTGTCGAGGAAGACCCGTGCGGGGGCAGGCGAGGTGGTGGTCTCCATATGCATCGACCTCACCTCCACAACCGTATCAGCCTTCGGCGCCACAACGCAGGTCCGTGAGGGGCAATCGAAAACGGCGCCGCATTGCAACGTGCATGAGGCCGAGTTCACCCTCAGCCGTTGGCACGTCGGCGCCGCAAGATTCCCAGTCGGGTCTGATCTCCCAACCCTCCGCAGGAAGCTGGCGCGATGCCTCCGCAGCCGCGCGCAAGCAAGGGGACGACGGTGCGCCCTCGAGTTCGCGCACGCCTGTCCGCTGCATCGGGGTAACCCTGGCGCAACACCGGGAGCGCGTCCGCCCACGCCGCCATTTGCTGCCGGCGCTACCCGCTCAGCTGCCAAGAGGCCAAGACCTCCCAGGCTCGGCGGCCAAAAAAAGGCAGCGTGTGTGCAGGAGGGGCGCAGAAAGCGCGCAAAAGCCACGCGCTCTGGATCGAGTTTCCGGAGCAAGTCGTTCTGGGCAGCAACGCGGTCAGCGCCTTGGGCTGACGAAGTCGGGGTGCCTGATGGACACTCCTAGGCCGACGAAGCCTCGCTGCGCTGGGGACACCAAACGTCCGGCATCGACGACCATGGTCGCGCGGCTGATAGTGTCCTTAGCGCTGCCCATCCAGAGAAACATCCGTGGCCTGCGGGTCGAGTTCAACAGCTGCACGAAGCATCGCCGCCACCTCCGTCAAGAAGGCGGTCAGCCACGAAAGGGCCATGGCATCTAGCGCGACGTGCGGGGCCTGCGCACGGGCCCGCTAACGAAGTGGGATGTCATCGAGGATCTGCACTGATATGTCGTCCCAAGTATTTGTGAACGTCGCCTGCGGTCAATACCTCGACCATGTTGTCGCTAACGTTGATGTACATGGGTCCGTCTATGTGGCCTGTAGTACGGCCCCCCCCTTAAAAATGTGGGTATAGGGGGATATAGGGGGTTACCCCCACTGCCGCCTATTTCCGGGTTTATTTTGCTACAGTGGGGGGGGGGTCAAAAAATAAGCGAGAAAAAAAAACGCGGGGAATTATCGTTGAGCTTAACTTATGGGGTTGCCTGTCATGTTAAACAAACAGCTGCTATAGTAATGATTCAGCTTTTTGATGCCTTCAAGTGCAACCGATCTGTCCAAGTTCTTGTACGAGGCATTCGATCTTTCACACAAGCTCCTGCCAAGATTTTGCGTTAACCATGATGTTGTCAGCGTAGTGGATGTTTGCGAGTCGCTCGGCTGCTTCAGTCAAGCCGCCTTCCTTCACCGCCTCCGCTTGGGTGTGTCAAGCTTTGCCACCAGCCTGCTGGTCCCTTCGTTTGCTAGCTCACACGCAGTTTAAGCATCGAGGGGGTCTGTGAGAGCGGGCGCTTGGTAGGTTTTGTGCCGCCCTCATACGCAGTGGTAGGCTTGGTACGACAGACTGGGTGTCCTATTGCGTGTGGAGTGTGACGTCACGACCATGCTCCATCAGTCGTTGTTTCCACTGCTCCACGCGTTGGATGTCAGATGGGGGACCCTTTTTCAGTGGTCCAGATTGTGAGCGGTACAATGTTTTCAATAAGTTGATGTAGCAGTCGGGCAAACTTTGACATCGCAATGCTTCCAAAACCCACGCCACAGCTTTGGACAAAACCGTGTCAAGAACAGCAAGCGCGTGATGTAATGGCCGGAAACCCATTTGATCCCAACTCGGTTCACATTCCAGTAGATCCTGAATTCTCGTATGTATGAGCTCGAAAAGATCTTGCAGGCTCGCGGCCGGTGCGCGAGCAGGCGCGCCCTGCTTGCAGGCGGCGGCGGCGGCCGCCGCGGCAGACGCCCTTACCCCCCAGGGCTGGTCGGACAGGCCAGCCTGGCGAGCGTGTGTCGACAGAGCGCGGCTGTCGCCCGAGCCCGCAAATGAGCCGGGTTTTGGGGGATTTGACGGGTAACGTAGTGCAGTTCTCGCATCTGATCACACCTCCTTTCGAGAACGCACGATGTTGCCGGCTTTGACCCCTGACGCCCGAGCCATGTTGCGGTCCTAGTCAGGCCCACATGCGGGGTCTTGGATTCGTGCTATCCCCGCGCACCCAGCTGCCTCACGCCGGATCTGATGCACCTCGCCCTGTGGCGCTCCGCAGCTTGTCCGCGCACCGGTCACGATCGAGCAGGCGTGGGTGCAGGTCGCGCACGAGGCGGTCGAGTGGTACCGCAGCAGCGGCTCGCCGATACAACCGCTGTTGGCGTGCGGCCGGATGACCGACGGCGCCTTGATCTCGTCATTTATGGCGCAACCCAGCGTGGCGAAGCCCTCTGCTGTGACGCGACGTTCGTGTCCCCGCTCGGGCGGGATGGCAGACCCACCCGCGGCGCCGCTGACCGCGACGGTGCCGCACCAGAGGCCGCTGCGCAACGCAAACATGCGCGCTGCCCTGAACTTTCCCTCGGGGGGCCACAGCGCCTGTGCGTGTTGGCTCGGAGGGCGCTGGAACGACGAGTCCCAACGTCTGCTCAAGCAGCTCATCCGACTGCGCGCGCGCCGAGCACCGGCCGTCCTTCGAGCGGCTGCTGGCCAAGGCTGGGCGCGCCGGTGGTGGAGTGCGTTGTCTGTTGCCGTGCAGCGTGCCCAGTGCAGCGCCGCGCTCGGCGAGTGCCCCCCTCCCAGGGCAGGTTGACACACAGCCCGTGGCGATGGTGTTCGACCTCGCTGAGCACCCGGCGCCCAGTCGGCTCCCTCTGCTGTGAGTCAGCCGGGCTGACTCTAAACTCTTACTCAAATATACAATATATACATGAAAGAAAATCTGTACTTCGCTACGTGCGAGTTTCGAGACCAACGAGGGCCTTCAAATGGCTCCGTAAACTGAATTTCCAAACAACTGAAGGCTTTCCAGCACCTCTCTGAATCTAAGTTTCCGGTTATTCAAGGCTTCCTAAAAGCGCCCCTGAACTTGAATTTCTGAAATAGTGACAAAGTCCTTGGGCCCAAGCTGGCTAAATGATTTTTCCCAAACACGCAAAAATCATTGAACCCACTTCTCACGAGTGCTGCTTGAAAGCAGCACAAGCTGCGATTTGGCATTGGAAACCCGAATCGCGCGATTTGCGTTTCCAACGGTTGAATACGACCGAATAAGAAGCGATTCGGGCCTGCGTGTTTAAATCGCAGCGATTTGATTCCGCGATTTCATCTTCTAAGGTCAGCCCGCATGGGCCGTTACTGTGCCTGCGGAGCGCGAGTTTTGACAACCCTCCCCACGACGCCAGAGTGCCGCCTGCAAAGGAACCCCTGCAAGCCCGCACTTCCGGGTGTCACTCTTGTGGCGACGACGCCTGCCCTTCCCACTTGCGCCACAGCGGTGTCGATGTGGCGGTCACCTTGAACCCCACAGCAACCACTGCAAAGCGTTTCCCACTGCGGGAGTTCTGGGGTGTCATGAGCGCTGCGCTGGAACGCGCCACTGCGAGGTTGTCGCGAGGCCGGGGCTCGAGTGGCAACCAACCACCGGCCTTCTGGCCGTCGCAAACCTGAGACGAGTCAGCGCGCAGACGTAAAACTCCGGAACAAAGACGTATAAGACGTTAACACTGACATGACGTGTGCACCGTTGCTGACGTACGTCGGAGCGCATGGTGCGAAACGCACGGGGATGTCCGCTCCGGGGCCTCGGCGGATTACAGCCACCGTTTTCTCATGAGGGCGGAAAGTGCAACAGTTGTTCTTTTTCTTGCCTGTTTGCCGCAGCCAAGGCTTAAAAGCAGGTTCAATGCGTAGGCCTCAGTGTATGCAGGGGCGTATTGAGACCCCATGAGAGCCGAAAGCCACAAACCTGTTTGCATATTCGCCAAGCGTGTCTCACTGAACATTAGTTGCAACCTAGATGATTCTTTTGCTGCCATGGAGTGAACATCATGGAGATCTACACGGCTGCCGAAGTCGCCCGCCACGCGCAACCAAACGATTTGTGGGCCCTGAGACTGCACTTGGCCTCGTGTTTGTGTTTTTGCAGTACAACCTCGAAACCCCGAGATTCGTGATGTTGATCGCACTTTTTTCGACCTCCCTTGCCACGCTCAGTAGATTGTGTTTTAAACTGTTGAGCTGGGAGCTGGCACGGGTTCGTGGCATTGTGACGGTCGTTTGTTTTATTTATTTATGTTTTCTATTTTTTGTGGTGGCCATGTTGCCTTCAGCATTGCCGATCAGGTGATATTGAACGATAAGGCGTCTTGGTTGATGTTATTCGGTTTTGGATCGGATGCATTTCGTTGTCTTTAATTTGGCTTGTTTTGGTACTCGTAGTCTCGGCCTGTAAACCAGAGTGCGTCTGAGGTGTATGATATCACTCACTGGCATGCGTTCCACCCTGGTGGATCCACAGTCCTGCTGAAATATGGAGGTGCGGATGCTACACAAGCTAGCTGCTTGCCTTGATTCCATGGCAGGTCGTCACGGTAGATTGCATCAGGCAACAAATATCGAGTGACCTCAACATGCCCACAAGGAGACAAAGACAACTGCCCCAAGCCTCAGGTAACGATGCCCACGGCTCCTTGAAGACGCTGTGTGGATTTGCAGGGTTTGGCTAGGCTTTGGTTTTGGGACGAGTGGGGTTCTGTCAGCGTTGCCGTGTTGCAAACCTTATCTTTTGCACGAAGCTTGGGGCCTGCATGGGGTCGCTTCTGTACACGGTGCTGTAGACCAGTGTTGCACCACCAAGGAAACCTCCCAGCATCATGCAGCTTTCTTGACAGCCAGCAACTTTTTGAGTTTATGTAGTCGAGGTGACTTCAGTCTGCGTTCCATCATGGTTGTCCCCCATATTCGGATCATGTTTCCTAATGTTATTTTCTTGCCACGTGTTGCACGAGCACGGCCTCCGGGGGCTTTCTCTAGTCGGGGAAGTCGCTGAGGCCTCGGTACTGCATCGGCATCCTGGGAAGCGAGGAGGCCAAGGAAGCCTTGGAGCGGGAGAGGCTGAACAAGTACATGGCCCAGCAGGCCCGCCACAGCCGCGTTTTTTCTCGCTGGGGCATCTGGGCGTTGACACCTTTCAATCAATGCGTCAGGGAACTTTGCCTTAAGATTCTCAATTAAGGGGTGGAGTTCGACAACTTTTGGCTTTAAGGGGTGGAGGTGGTTGCAATAAGGGAGCAATCAAGTCCCTTGTAAAAGAAGGGGGTGGAGGTGGTCGAATGAATATTGAAGAACTTTCAAGTTCCAAAGTTTGTATCTGAGTTTCCTGCCTATGAGGCGGCCGCGGGGACGCCTGCGCCGGAAAGCCTTGAGACGGTTGCCAGGGGGCAGCATAGATTTCGCATCCACTGCGATGCGTTTTTTGTTGCTGTCATCTTTGTCAAGCTGCTTGGGCAGGTGGAGGGTGCTGTACGTACCCTCATTCCAGCTTGAAACACGAACTTGACCTGAGCTTCAACCCTCCTAGGCTGCGGCGGCCTTGGCGGCGGCTGCTCCTGAACCGACTGCGTCAGCTCCGTCTGTGCGCGAGGAGCCTCCACTGCCGCCCCCGGCGCTCGAGCCGGAGCAGAAGGAGGTGTTGGCTGGTTGGCTAGGTGTTGGGCTTCTGGTATGGGGCAAGGCTTATGGCACCTCAACTCCAGAGAAAATGTTTGTGAAAACCTCGCCGGGATGCGTTGCGGGTTTCTCCCGGCTGGGCACCCCATTGAGTTAGCAGGTAGCAAAGCTTCAAAGCCACACCGAGGCTGTTGAAAAACCAAAACCGTAGCTAGGCATGGCCTAGTTGTTCCCACTTGCAAGGCATGGAGGCCAACGCCCCCCAGTCGCCTCAAGACCCTTCAGCATGCGAAGGCAGATCCGAGCGCTTCCTCCATGGCACGAGCCACCTACACGCTGTTGCTTGAGATCCGGCTCGCATTTTACGGGGGTTCTAGGCGTGGGGAGGGGCAGTCGGCCCCAAGGCCTTGGGGTCACTTGTGGGTCGCGGGTTTCGTACGGTTTCTTGGAACTTTCTACTCAGGATTTCCCTGAGGCCAGGGCAATGAGGGGGCGCGGCTCCAAAGTTTGTACTTGTCAAGAGGAAGAGCGCCTTTCAAAGGCCCTCGGAAAAGAAAGACCAAAACCTCCACCATCCTGCACCTGATCTCATGGATCAACCTTGGAGGCCCTGAGTCTCCGCACCAAAACCTTCACGCCTCGAAGCTCCGAGCGGCCCGGAAAAAGACATGTGGCGGAAAACGATGGACACTTCTGACATGTAGAGGTACGAAGCGTGGTGCAGTCTTCAATTCTTAAAGGTTCGGAATCCTTTCTCGGCTCCCGGTTGCCTGAGGAGAAAATGGCTGCCGAGAGGCAGGCTGCAGAGCGGATGATGTCGAAAGCTAAGGCCGGCCGCCTTGCCTGCTTAAGGCGTTGGAGGGCTGCGTCAGGGCTGCTCAAAAGGTGGCCCGCGGCAGTCCAAGCTTGGCTTCAGTTCACGGGGTTTTTGGGTAAGAGGTGTACGAGGTGCACCTGACAGGGACGGGCGCCCTGCTACTGTTACAAGGGATCTCAGAAAGGGCTTTTTTCCAGGATGCTTGTTTGAGTCTTACCGTCTTGACGGTCTTCTCTGCAGCCCACGTCTTTTGTATGCGTGTGTGTGCACGTGCTGGACTCCGTCTTTTCCGAACCCGGCCACAACCCTTCACTAGTCCCAAACACCGCTTGAGGCTGCCGTGGGCAAAGCGACGGCCCGGCTGTCGGGGCGCGCGCCAGGCCTGGGATGGGTGCTCTACATATTTGCTTTCATGCAGAACCAGAACGTAATTGGCAGAATGCATTACGTCAGTTTTTCTGCCGCGGGCCGAGTAGTGGGTTGACCTTTGAGTCGTGGGTTGACCTTTTAGTTGAGGCTGAAAGCTGGCGTCCTCTAAGCCCCCCAAGGTCCTGACCCGTGGACCCAAACATGCCTGAGTACCCAAACTCCACCCAACTGTAAGACGACGACGCAGGTCCTCCAGGCGCTGTAGAGCCCGCGCTTTCGGAGAAGCTTGGATGCGGTCGATGTAAGGTTCGGAGGTTAGGTTTTGGGGTTGTGATTGCAGCTGCAGGCATGGTAGATGGTGGATGGTAGATGGTAGATGGTAGACGGTAGATGGTAGATGGTAGATGGTAGATGATAGATGCTGCAATCTCTTTCCTGCGCTGAACTGGCCAGCGGCCTACGAGTGCTTGACAACGACGCCGAGCATTTGAAAATGTGCAGGGTCAGAACAGCAAAGCCCGATCTGGTTCGTATGGGATGCTGTGAGTGCTGTCTCACCAAACTTGCACAGGGGATAAGTCGACATGACGCCATTCAAGAAGTGTCAAAAGTCTGCTGCAGACACTCAGAGATCCCCCGCATTCCGCCAGCAAGGTTCTGGAGAGCATTTGGGATCAGGTCCTTGAGACCAAGTGCTGAACAGACTAAGCCGGCTTGGTATGTTCTTCGGCGAAGCATAGGCCATCGGTTCTTGAAGACGATGCGTCATCTGGGCCTGTTTGCCTCGAATGTCGAGAATAAACTTCGTCAAGCATTGTTCTCTGTCTGCATTCTCATTCGGAGGACCCATTTGCCGGGTTTTTTTTTTTTTTTTTTTTTTTTTTTTTTTGCCGATTTGGTACTGGTGTTTCCTGTTAATGCCCACGCCTCTGGGGCTTGCGCCTGCTGAAGGTAGGGGCGATGCTGGCATCAGCATTCGGATGCTTTCGCTTATTGGAAGCTGCCGGAAACTCTGCAGCTAGAAATGCTGTAATGTATGGTCTTTTGCAAGCCACCCATCCACCGGTGCCGACAAACGGCGACAAACGGTCATTCCGAAACAGCCGCCTCGAGCTCAAGGAGAAGCTCCGAGCCCAAGTCCCAAAAGCAGATCCCAAACATACGCAATACTTGGCCCAGGAAGTCGGACGCCAGCGCGAAGGCCCAAGCGAGTGCTGCTGTCCTCTGAGGTCAACGAAGTAGCTTTTATGGGCTTGATGCGGACAGTGGAGTGACTTAGTGTTGGGGAGGACAGTGCGGAACTGGTGTTCAAGGAAGGCCGTTAGGCAAACCAAAAAAGAACTCATGGATCTGGCTTGTGCTGTCAGGCATCGCAAGCCAAGTCGCCCAACAAAACGTCCACCACCAAGGCAGGTCAAGGGGTGGTCGTCGAGATAGGTGAAAGAGTTGCGCAAATGTGTCAGTCAGCGTTAGGAACGCTTTGCCAAGGAGGGAGCTGAAGCACTCGCGGAGAAAGCTGGTGCCAGCCCCAATGGCGATGAGCAGGCTGCAGAGAAAGCGCCTACGGACAAGGCCACCGCTGATGAGAACGCGGCCAACGGAAAGAAAGAAACGCCTGAGAAGGCAGCTGCAGAGAAGGCGGCCGCGGAGAAGGCTGCTGGTGAGAAGGCTGCTGCGGAGAAGGCTGCGGCTGCTCAGAAGAAGGCTGCTGCGGACAAGGCTGCTGCTGCAGCGGCAAAGGCGGCAGAGAAGGCGGCAGCTGAAAAGGCAGCCGCTGAAAAGGCGGCCGCTGCGAAGGCCGCGGCTGAGAAGGCGGCTGCGGAGAAGGCAGCTAAGGCAGCAGCTGAGAAGGCAGCAGCGGAGAAGAAGGCTGCAGAAAAGAAGGCCGCGGAAAAGGCCGCAGCTGAAAAAGCCAAGGAAAAGGCCGCAGCTGAAAAAGCCAAGAAGGCTGCTGCGGAGAAGGCGGCTGCGGAAAAGAAGGCCGCCGAAAAGGCGGCTGCAGACAAGGAAGCCACTGAGAAGCTGGAGGCAGACAAAGCAGCAGCCGACAAAGCTTTAGCTGAGAAGGCTGAAGCCGAGAAGGCCCTAGCCGAAATGAAGGCAGGTAGCGCGTGTCCACGTTCCAATTTAGGTCATTTTCGCGAAAGCTTTGCCCAGAAAGCCTTTCGTTTCAAAACTCAGGTTTTGTTCTGTTAGAAGGTCCAGGATCGTGTGGGGAGGGCGACCCGAACTGCACGACTCGATCTATGCTTCTCAAAGAGGCGCTCCCCTCCCCCCCCCGCACCACCTCTTCAACAGCTGGCGTAGCCTTTCTTGGGCCTACCTTAGCCTTCCCCGGCCTTTCTTAGCCTTCCCTTAGCCTTCCTGTGACCGCTGGGTGTCCGCTGAAGGCAGCAAAGGAGGAAGCGGAGAGAGCGGTCAAGGAGATGAAGGTGGCAGAGGGAACCGTAACATGTTGAAACCCTCCTTCGGGGCGCTTAAGCCCCATTGAGGTCAGGCAAGTAGTCTACCACGACCCCGTCAGATCGCAGCTTCTTTGACATCTACTCTTGATGCTACCTCCCGCATGTATGCTCGCGAAGCCTCAGACCCAGAATGCCTCTGGAAGTTGTGAGCGTCGAAACCTATAGTTTTCGAGCTAGTGTTGGATTGGGGTACTGCAGCTCCCTGAAAGCTCACGCGTAAACCCTCCAATGCATCACAACTCCCTGTAGTTGGTGCTGGGGCACAAACAGGTTTCCAGGGGCTCGATGCCAGGAGAAGGCCGAGAAAGTGCAGCGAGAAAAGGAGGCCCTGGAGAAGAAGGCAGGTTTGGGGTCTCTAGGTGTAGGGTTTCAAGGTTTGAGTGCTGTCTGGTGATGCCCGGCGTGAGACCGGGATGCACACAGGTTTGGATGCCCGGCCGTCTCATAGGCCGCAAAAAAGGCTTGAGGAACCTAAGTCCGTATGCAACGAAAAGGCTGGAGGAACATACTTCAGGGGTCGAAATCTGTTGCAAGAGGGTTATGGTTTCGATTGTGGGGTCAAGTATCGGATTCAAGAAGCCACTCAGGGTTAGCACGGGTATGCAGCAGCGCGTGAAACTCCAAGCCCTCCTGCTACGTCCCTGCGGCACCACTCTGCCCTCGTCGCCCCTCATCACCATTCCCGCTAGACGATGCACCCTTCACGCTATCAGCGACTGAAGACCTTGGTGTTGAGGCCAAACAGGCGAAGAAGGAGGCGGAGAAGAACTCGCCAAAATTGCTCATTGTCTTCAAGTCGCCAGATGGCTGCTCAGCGGCGTATACTTGAGGTCGCGACGGGTAGGTGCTGGCCTCTGTATCTGTTGAGTGTGGATCCATACTGTTTCCGCCAAAGTGAATGCTGGAAGCGCCACAACTGCCGAAATCTCTTGTCCCAACTCCGAACTTTTCGCGACCCGAACTCTGTCAGGCATTGCTACACCCTAAAGTTGGTATTATCTCCCAGAAGAAACCCGAATGTCAACAACTGCCACGCTTTGTCTTCAAGGCTTTCGGACTCTTGGTAGGGAGGGTTCATGCAAGCTGCGGTTAGGCTCTGGATCACATCTTGTTTGTTTGTACATGTGCATGCACGTACAGGTAGATGCACACCGCCATCTGTGCTTCACTAAGTTCGCGCAGCGGGTGAGGCTTCGGGTATCTTCATCTTGGGGATCTTGTGTCTTCGCGTCGTAGCTCATTGAACCTATGACATTGGAGATGGGCGCAGTTGTCTGGAAGATCCCTTCAAGAGCTTCGTGGATGGGGCTGATGGCTGCTTTGTTGTCTTCTTCGCGGCGGGCCGGAAGTTAGATTAGCATTTTCATATATCTGCGTCCATGCAGATGGAGTGGGTACATCTTCCAGACCGTTCGGAGTTAGCACCCCGCCAGCCCCGTGCCCCCTGGCCCCTTTCCACGCCCAAGAGGAGCCGGATTGAAGGGTTTGTACTATCCAAGGCCGAGTGCAGAAGACGGTCACCTTCACCAAGCGGCCGTTGGGGGCACTGTAGTGGCACTTGGGGTCTTAGGGCTGAGGTTCGTGCATTGTTTCGGCAGATGGGTTTCGAGAGGGATTTGGTGGGAAGAATATGTCCAAACCCTGAAGGCCCCAAAAAGAAGACTGTCCAAGGCTTGTTTCCGGGGGCAGAGAAAAACTTCTGTTCAGGTATCCTGCAAAATGGATTCGATGCCGATCGTCGTCGGCGAGAAACCTGCACCTCGACAGTGGCAGTTCTGCTCGAGCCGGATTGAGGGTTCAGGGGGTTCAGGGTTTAGGGTTTAGTGTGATTTCCTGTTTAGGAGGGGCCTTTTTGGCCCAGGAGTCCTTTTGCCAGGCAGCTCGAGCCTTCTGTGGGATGAATTGGCTTGAAGGGTTTTTGGTTGGGTCGACGGACAGGGATGCTTCGAAAAGATCACTGAGGGGAGAGAAGGTCGTGCCTGTAAAGCATTGCCGTAAATCTGCCTGTGAAACTGTTCCCTCAGGGGTTCTGCTTAGGCTTAATTCCACCCTGATATATCCAAGCCGACCGGCTGGGGGTTCAGGAATTCTAGGGCAAATTCCGTTGGAGTTGGGTTTGGCGTGAGCCACAGAACCCCAACAAACCCGGAAGTTCAGCCATGGTGAGTAGCCTTGAACCCCTCTACCCTGCAAACCCTAACTCCCCACATGCAATCGTGAGAACCAGGGCAGCTCGGGGCTTTGAATAAAGTGGCAACGTTTGATGCGCAAAAACGGCAGGCAAGATGAGGTCTAAAGGCCAGAGTTGCACCTTGGACGTAAAGGTTCCTTCCAAGAGCTCTCTGACCGTGCTCCCTCTCCTGGCTTGTCCGAGTGTGAGCAAAAAAAGACCCTCAATCGCCTAAAGCCCCTAACGCCCCTGGACCCTAACCCTAAACCCCAAACCATAAAAGCTCCAAGTCTAAATCCCCTTTTGAACCCAAACTTCCTTCCTGCAGGTGGGCGAGGCCGCCGACGCTGGGATTGGAGAGGGCTGGATCCTCTGCCAGGCCCGGTCCCAATATCATGCTGTTCTATGACTCAATTTAGTATGTTACTATTTGAGCACATACAGTATCGCAAGAATGCCATCAGGCAAGTAGCGTGATCGAATTGTCTGCAAGACGGGCTTCTGCAATGCCCGGCAACGTCACAGCAAGGTCCCTGCAAACATCTTGGATGCTACAGCACCATTAATGCTTTGCAGCAATGTGCCCGATTGGCCTGCAAAATGCGCGGTTTCCGGCTTCGTTTTTGGGGCTATTTTCTGGGCAGCTTTCTTCATGCCAGCAGCAGCCAGGGCACAGAATTTGCCGCCCGCGCCGTGGGCGCAGTTTCGGAACCGCAGAATTTTCGTTTTTGGGGTCGTGCTTTTGGCTCCAAGTTTTTGTTTATTTGTCGGGCTGCTTTGTCTTCCCACCCCGGCGACCAGTTTTCGTCCCATTTTGGTGGCCGGGTTTCCGGCCCGCTCGGCGGGCCCAAAAAACTGACCCAGGCACATTCAGGGCCCATCACGCTGAAGCTCACTCTGCGACCGGAATCCGGCTTGCAAGCCTGGCCCCGGAAATCATGCTTTTAAGCAACCTAAACCAGCCCAAGAGATGAGTTAACTGTTCGGCAGCGCGGACACTTGGCACGTCATTCATAGCGTTTTTCTTCTCTAAAGTGCTAAGTTTCTATGAGACCATGTGGCACCCGCGTTCTTCTGCACGGGAGCACACCTGGGTTTCGGTGGGACCCGCGTTCTTCTGCGTGGGAATGCACAAAAAATAGGCGGGGCCCGCGTTCTTCTGCGTGGGACCGTACCGGGTCTCGGTGGGACCCGCGTTCTTCTGCGTGGGACCGTGCCGGGTCTCGGTAAAACCCGTGTTCTTCTGCGTGGGACCGCGCCGGCATTCGGCGGGACCCGCGTTCTTCTGCGTGGGACCGACTTGGGTTTCGGGGAGGCCCGCGTTCTTCTGCGTGGGACCGTGCCTGGTTTCGGTGGACCCGCGTTCTTCTGCGTGGGACCGCACTGGGTTTCGGTGGGACCCGCTAAATCGCTCCGTTCTTCTGCGTGGGACCGTACACCCCGTTTGGGTTTTACAAGGCCAATAAAGGGAAGGGGAGGGCCCCGCTGGACCACTTTTTCGTGTAGTTGCAGCATTGTAGTCCAAGCGCCTGCCCAGCCGGTGCGTTGGTGTGTGGTCTGTAGAGCCCGGAGTGGGCTTGCTATATGGGTGGGCTTGCTTTTGGTATCGCCAAACGGTCAACCGTCCGGCTTCAACACGAGGGGCCCAAATAGTAGTGTCACTATGCTAGAACGTTTGCTGTGCTCTTGTCTCATGATGTGCATATCTTGCTTGCTTGCAGTGCAGGACGTGAAGCTAAGGGCAATTTCGGAATGGAACACGATACGCACCTAATCATGTCATGATACCATGTAGGAAGATTTTATGGAGCTGTATATGGCTGCAACATCACAATCGCACACAACATCACAATGTTGTAATGGTACAATCTTACGATAGTACAGAATTTCAATGCTCCATTACTAGTATGTACTTTCCATATTACAGTTTGTCAATAACATACAGTACATTGTTATCATTATGTTAGTGGGGGGAATAGTGTACCAATCATGTTGATGTCGGCCAGGGCCGGGGTTGCAGGGTGGGCTCATCTGGGCAAGAAAGCCTTGCACTCGAACAGCCCCGAAATTTTATCTATCTATCTATCTATCTGTCTATCGCTTCTATCTATCTATCTATCTGTCTATCTGTCTGTCTGTCTGTCTATCTATCGAAAAATACTTGCGTGCAACGCGTGCGCGCGCACACTCACACACACACACAGACACACACAGACACACACAGACACACACAGACACACACAGACACACACAGACACACACAGACACACACAGACACACACAGACACACACAG